CATGTTGAGTTACAAAATTATTTAAGATTCCTCCATTTAGATTCATGGTTTTTGAATTCCAGGTAGGATATTTAGCATTTAAATCTTCAGCTACAAGAGTAAGATATTCTGCCCTTGTGAGATGACGACCTTCATTTGTCATAGTCTGGGTAGATGGACTGTAAACCAAGATGAATAGGAATGGCTCTTTCTTAATGCCATATATTAGCACAGCTGTGGTTTTGATGCATATAGAAGGGAGAGGAAATGCGCTGAATTTTAGATGATTTTTAATTAACAGCATAGTGCCACCACCTCTGTTGTGGTTTCAATCCAAGAGTAATGTGCGATATCCATAGATATTAAAGAGACTTTTTTCCTGAAATGTGTTTCATTGATGAAGAGCACATCAATGTTGTATTTATTTAGGTAATTTGTAAGTTCGATTTAGCCTCCTTATTCTGTTGCCAGTGAAAAAGGTAACATTAATATAGCAGTTTTTGCCCCCATGCTGTGTGATAATGAAGTGTTTCTGTTTTTAGTGTGGGGTAGTTTTATCATTTGCAGCATCTCATACAAGTAGTACAGTGCATGGATTAAGGGGGAAAAAAAAAATGCTGGCACTCCTTTTTGGATTACTACAATATTCTTTATTCAAATAAACTTCTTAGGGATTTAAATTTACTCTGTTTAAAATATAGTAATAAATTATAATCTGGGGAAAAAAAAAAAAAAAAAAAAAAAAAAAAAAGCTTGATTTTTCTTTTGAAAAATGTTTAATATACAAATGAAAATTTAAAAATTTGTTTAATATCAAAATATATTTCCCTGACTACAACGCAAGAGAACAAAAACTGTGAATAACTAAATTAATTTTAAGAACTGAAATCCTTTTTAGTGTGCTTTAAATATTACTTTATATTAAAAATCTATTTAACTAGTTTATAAATGACAAAGAATTAACTGCAGCACTTGATTACTTCTGAATTCCAATATACAGCTCCAGAAGCATATGGAGCTGGTCTAACCAATGTGGGGGAACATGAAAAAAGGGTGGCATATTTTCCAAACGGTGCATGGATGTGCAAAGTGCAAGGACTCTGTAATATAAGGTTACGTTAGGTTATTTAATTACGGCAAAGCCTTGAGGGCTATATGCCTAAGGGGAAATGCCTTCATGGAGTACTTTCTAAGGGAAATTGGCTCGTATACATGTTACACATGGGGAAAACCACGAAAACACCCATGCAGCCAGCTCGTTTGCGGGATTCGAACCTCGGACTGAACTACCAGTGTTTCAGCGACTTTACTGCTCGGCTGCTGGTGGGCCCTCTGTAGTTATAAAGGCACAATAGTGTCAGCATTGTAATAAAGTCTAGTGCAACCCTCATCAAAGCTGCCAGAATGCTCATGTGAAGGCTTTAATCTTGGTGAAGAAGTGACATCTTGCACAAAGGTGCCGTTACCCTTTTCATGTTGGATACTACTTACCAACACACCATGTGAAGGTCTTAATCTTGGCGAAACATTACATACTTAAATAAAGGTGTTGGCATCTTTGTAACATTTTATGAGATCAACTGTGCAGTGGCACATGAAAGTTCTTTTATGCAATGGAATAAATAATTTAGAACTAACAATTATGAAAGTGCAATCAGCTAATGATGATGGGGATATGAGGTTATGGTTACCATTAATTTATCTTTCAGTCTTTTATAGTGTAATTAAATATTATCCCATGAGTTTATCATTTCTTGCTGCATGAATTATTTAATTGTTATTATTGTCTCATCTTTCTTAAGGCATTGATATCTGGCAACATAGCAGCATCACAGGTATTGACACATCAGAAAATTTCCCAGATTCTTGATAGTCTCATCTGTCCTTGCAAAGCCCCGACTAACTAACCTAAAGTATGATTATATAGCACACTTTAAAGCTTCAGGGAATTCATGCTAAATTATTGAATATGAAATTCTCATGTTACACATTGTTTATGAAGGAAAAAGTCATTATAATAAATAAAAATGTTGAAATTGAAAATGCTGTATAAATTCAAATAAATATGTATATTTTTACTTTACTCTGTCAAAACGTTTGGAGAAATAGCAAAAACAAATATAAAAATTAAAAATCTGATATATACACCACATGACTTCCTTGCACGGAATATTAAATTATACAGTCAAAAGTCGTTAATTCGGACACCCATAATCCGGAATGATCTACAATCCGGACCTCAAAGCTAAAATCTTTCTGCACAGGCGCGCCGCGGTGACGCATGCGCATAGGCGTTTTAGGCGTGCACGCAAGACATTTATGACTGTGCATATGTGTCTGGGCAAGCGCAAAATACGTTTTCGCGTGCGCGTTTAATGTAAAACGAACGGTATAAGCTAAAATTATCTAATTCAGTTAATGTTGATGATTGCGTTGTTCCTTAATCTTCGAATTGGATCCGGCTTATTATTTTTTGCAGACTGTAAGAGCAATTTTATAAAAGTAAGCTTGAACTTTCGATGATGTCAAATAGAATTTAGGATGCTGGAGCTCCCAAAGGATCTAGAAAACGAAAGTATGCTTCAATGTCCGTCAAAAAAAAAAAAAAAAAAAAAAAAAAAAAAAAATTGCTATAAAAAATGGATAAAGGCATATCCTTTGTTTATCTAACCCTTCGGACATCTGTTTATCAATCTGCTCTGCGCAGGGGGGAGAGACTTCGCAGGGCACTATGAACTGGAAGTTGATCTGTCAGCACTATCATTATCTTTAGGGCAGATGTTTTTATTTTATTCGGCTTATAATTCCTTATTAAATGTAGTATTTAATTTCGATGTACTCCGTCTTTGATATGATTTAAATCAAATTTCTCATCATTATAAATATCACGAATACAAATCAAATAGTTTTCTGGTTGCAATTTTCTAATTCCGGCTATGCGTAGGGTATGCTTTACGCATGCGCGCGTTGAAAGAAATGTTTAATAAAGTAAACAAATAAATATTAAGCTTCTTTTTTTGTAAATTTTGATACCCTTTAGATCATAATTGCTCATTATTTTATAAATTACAGTTTCATATTTTTAATTTTATAATTTCTGCATGCCATCTTACCAGATTTAAACTTATGATCTATAATCCTGAAAAATCGATAATCCGGAATCGTCGAAGTCCCGACGAGTCCAGATTAAAGACTTTTGACTGTATACATTTTTTCTTGCATTTCATTTAACTTCTAGGATAGAATTAAATCTACTTCGTCGATAGCGCATAAACCACAATAGAATAAATGCACTCTTTAAAATCCACTCTATTTGTTTACCATAGCGACACTCTGGCATTAGGTTCACTTAACAGCATTATATTTCATTCATATTATAACTCAGAATGCACAAAATTTATATCATTTGAAGAATTATCTAATCATTGCCACATGTTCTATTCAAATACTATAATAAATTTAGAACGATGTATAAAAGAAATTAAGCAAACAAAACAAAAAAGAAACAGTTTTTCACACATGATTCAGTATTTCTAATTTAATTTATTCAGTTCTCACTTCATGACAAGGCAAAAATACATAAAAACTCAAAATATCTATATTAAAAATTATAAAATAAATCTCACACACTTATTTCCTCGAAAAAATTCCAGAAAAGATTAAGCATGATTTAATCCGCAATAATAAATGACGGCGTTATCTTTGTTGTTGCAAAGCTCTCTAGATTGGCAACAAATCGACTATTCTGCTGCTTCAAATGTAAACAAACAAGTCCACCATGTTATTTAAACATTAGGCTTAACCGCACTTAAACAGCTTTTAAATTGCTGATAATTCTACAAATATTGCTTGCAAAAAATGCACAATTTAAAACATATAAGAGAAAAGAAATTGAGATCACTGAGCCGGGTAACAGAGTGGATATATATATATAAATATATTTATACACGTTTGGTGCTGCCGATTGCAACCAAAATACGAGGTGCACATTTACATGTTATAAAAAATTTCAACGTTCTGAGGCTACTCGTTTTTGAGTTATGCGAGATACATATGTACATACAGACACCACGAAAAATTCTCATCAGAATTCATTTTAAAGCAATTTTATAACTTTTTTTGGAGGAAAAGAGTCTTTTATTCTATCCTTGCGTAGAGATGTCATGCAAAAACATCATTAAATTGCATTCGATAGCAGTCAAAATGGATATTTTCGTTGAAATATACTGCCTGAAACTTTTCGCGATTACAATACTTCCTTTTTACTTTGTACAGTACTTCTTTTTTACTTTGTACAAAAAAATGCTTGATTTTTCTTAAGAAAAATGTTCAATATACAAATGAAAAGTTAAAAATTTGTTTAATATCGAAATATATTTCCTGACTACAACACAAGAGAACAAAAACTGTGAATAACTAAATTAAAAAAAAGTAAAAAAAGGGGGAAGTAAAAAAGGGATGTAAAAAAAGGGGGATGTAAAAAAGGGGGAAAATCAATATAATTATGTTCAAGATAGGAAACAAAACTTATGTCTCTAAATTTAAAAATCTCAAGAAAATCTAGCAAATTCTGCTTTTGGAAACTATGTTTTTATCTATTTTAAAGACATCTCCCTTTTAACATATTTTCAAAACTTTTTTTACATACAGCTACCTGTAAAATAATTGAAGGGATAATGTAAAAAAATATTTTTGAAATCATTTTAGTTATTGGGCAGGGAGGCATGACTTTGACAAACTTATCTAACATTTTCACTTAATATACAGAAATATATCTACAGAAGCAGAAAAATATTGAAAGAGACCCCAAAACATGGTCTGAGAAGCAAAAATTACAGAAATTTAAATTATTCATAAAATAATATTTTTAATAAAATTACAACATTTAAAATTCAAACGGAATGAAAAACACAATGAAAACGTTCTGAATTTCTTTCCCCAATGTAAAATACAGACATTATTTGCTTTACGTGAATAAAAGAAAATTTAACAGAGAAGAGAAGTTAAAAATATAAACTTACCCCAGTTGGTCATACCATGATCAGATGTAAAAATATAAGCAGTTTTTTCATCACTTCCAAAGAATTTATCAATAATACCAACACATCTCTCAATACCTGAATCTAAAACTTTAATATTTTTAGTATATTCCCTATTAAAAAAAAGAAACATTTAGGTACACACAGGAATATTACCTGAAAAGATATGATAAATTTTAACTTGGAATACACAAGGCAGTATTAGAATTAATTAAATATTTTCTGAAATTTACAAAATAAGAATTAGGAAATCACTATTTAGAACACTAACCATTATACAAAATATGAAAAACAGAAAAGTTAAAAGCACATGTAACTTGAACCATATTCAGAAATGTATGTATGTACATATGCATGGATAACGTGTTGATGTGTGCATGCATATATGTTCATACATATGTATGTGTGCATACACACCCATATATATACATGCATACATACATTTCTGAATCTGGTCCCAATAACAGAAGCGTACCTAAAACTCATTTTGATTTAGCAATTGTAATATATTTAATCTTACACTGCAGTGGTTCTCAAACTATGATATGTGTACTTTCAGGATTATGCACATAGTTGTCAATGAAAATTTTGTAATATGGCACTAAACCAACGTAAGCAATAATTTCCGAAATGAAGGAGAGACCTTTTTTTCCTTTGATTATTTAAAAAAATTATTCACATTTGCTGCCATACTATTATACTCCCTTGAAAAAATGTAATTTTATCAAGACTTCTTTTACATTAGGTTGAGGTACCAGACTCGCACACAACTGTTTACTACATCTATAGTGAAGAAGTTTATCTTATTAATATGAATGCATATTAACAATCATTTTTATTTTTTAAAGTGTTTTTAATAACAATTTTTTTCTAATAGAGCAATAAAGAGAACATTTTCATAAGAAACATGAGTACCAAGAGAATTCATTGAAATTTTTAAGTGATAAAATAAAACTTGGAACATTCTTTCATTTCTTATCTCTGAACATGAAGAGCTTTGAGACACCATTTAGAGCCATTTTAAAAATAGGAAGGATGGAAAAGTCCTTTGCTTAATAGTCATATTTATTGCCTCTTCAAAAGATGTAACTTTAAAGTTTTAGAAGAAAAAAAAAGGGAGTAGTTTAATTTATTTTAATATAACAACAATACATCTCACAGAATTTAAATATAAGCCATATGTGCTTAAATATATTTAAGGCCCTGTGTGCTTAATAACCTTCACAATTTTGCTACAAATATGAACAAGATACGGAATGTTTTCAGTTACACACAGAAGTAACATGATTGTAAGAATGATATTGTTTATCCTTTTGCATAAACTGGGACAAGATATTTAAACATCACTACCTAGTAGAATGCAAGTTCAGTAATAGATTAATAAATGAATAATGGCTATGTAGGCTGGACTTCTTTCCAATATTTTCCAGTAGCTGAATGAACTGGTTAAAGGTCTGTAGAGAAATATAAAACACCCTTGAAGATTCTTGATAAATTACAAATTTTAAGAAAGCAATCCTCATTTACAATAAAAGAAATTGTGAATAGATAACAGATGTGTCTACCATTCTTATAAAATTTTGTGGAAGAAAATAAGAATGAATTTTACTGTCAAAGAATTTCTTCGGTGAAATTCTTCACTGAAGAAGAGTTTTCTAAATATTTGTACACTGAGTTATACATGTTAAATATTGTTAGATATGTTATAATGAAAAACTACCAGTGCATGTTGCAGTAAAAAAGTACAGTATCTTTAAATCAAGGAAAAGAAGATATTATACTTTGATGTGATGAAATCATTAAATACAATTTCAAGGAAACATCTTTAATAGACTTTATTGCAGAGACTAAGCAAAGTTCCTTTTATCTCAGGCAATATTATCAAATTTTCTCTTATCTTTGATCATACCAAGTTTATAATTAAAGCTTTCATAATGATGCTTCATCATCAACCTACTGGCACCTTAATACAAGTCCACCACTGTTCATCAGAACAGAATTCTTCATATGGCTATCCTTATACAAGTCAGTTTATAACTTGAAAAAGGCATCTCAATGAAGGCTATTTTCTTCAAGTTAAAAATTAATTTTCATAAAAGTGAAGGCACCTTCATACTGTGCACCCTTATTAAAATTATTCTTACATAATAGTGCCCGATTTGTAATGATGCTGGCACTTTTATGATAGGGTCTATTTTGTAGCAATTTTGTTATAAGTTTCTCAAGAACAATGCATTTATTTTACTAAACAATTCCCTCATTATTCATAAATTTTACTTAAATTTAACATAATTACTCTTAACCAATGCCTTAGCAGTAACAATTGAAATATTTAAATAGTTTAGTTCCATTTGAAATATTTTAGTACAAGTATATAAAACCTTAAAATTCATTCAATGTCCTGATAGATAAATATACATTTTTTTTAAACCTATGGTTTGAGTTAATTGATCTGTAAGAGTAAGGGATATATTAGGCTTTTAATTCTTGTTCAGAGACCCAATCTAGGAAAAATTTGAGAAGCATTGATGTATTATCATATTAAATTTCTTTGATCATAAATGAGACAGGTATACAATTTCATTGTGTGAATTAATGCATTTCAGTTTAAACAAAAGAATTTTTTCCCATGCAAACGACTTACAATAATGACAATAAACATTAATTTAATGATTGAAAAACTTGAATACTTGAGACTTATGAAATCAATTTCCAAACAAGTTTATAAGCTTACACATTTAATCTCATGCAAATCTTGTCTACAGAAGCCTACATGAAGGGCCATTTGAAGAGTAATGAGTGGCAATAAATAATTTTGAAACATAAAAATGGAAATTGAGATATACAAATTAGAAATTTAAAAATATTTCAACAAACTGTAAACCATAAAGTTATTTTTTAAACTAATTTAGATATTGATAAACAACAGTGTTAAAACAATAACATTAAAATTATTTAATAAATTTAAAGCATACATGGTAGTTTTTTTACTTCTTAAACTGAACAAATGCTGCATATAATTCAAAATTTCTTTAAATAATTTTTGCCCCCATCTCCTCTCAAAAAACAAATATATTAGATTATGTTTTGAAAATAGTTTCAATATAATAATATACTTATACTGGCATGAATTCTTATTTACATTTGATGTTGTTGGAAATACCAATTAAATCAAATAACTTACATTTTTATCAAAAGCAGATGACTGCACCTTAGTACTTTCCATTCAAAACAATAATGCAAATATAACTGATGTCCTATTTATAATATCCTAGAAACATCCCATAAATGTTAAACTGAAATAATTTTACACGCAATTTTATAGAAAGCGAGAATGAATCAACAAGTGAAAGAAAAAGAAACCAAATAGTTCCCTCACACACACACACAAAAAAAAAAAAAAAAAAAAAAAAAAAAAAAAAAAACCCAGCTTTTCACAAGTACACTTCTATGATTCAACTCAACAGTAAAACTCTTTCACTGTAAAATTACAAATCCAAAAAAGAAGTACACATATTGTGCTGGCTACTATTACAATCATAAAGAAACCTTACAATTAAATGGAAAAACAAATAAGTCAATAAAATACCTATTTGTCAGTGTTGCTCAGAAAGAAAGTGCAGTGTCAAAAGACCTTTCCCTCTTACATTAAGAATATATGTAACAATCTAAACCAGCATTTTTCCAACTTTTCCAACTGGGGGACCTCTTTTATAAATTAGAATATTCTGTGGACCACCTTATTCTTGTTTGCTATGAAAGCAATTTTTTTAACATGTGTAACATTTTTTTTTAACATTACATTTATATTTTTAAATGCAGTTAATTAAAATTTGTTTATTGATGTTATATAACTAAGCTAACAGAAGAAAATTTAAATTCGTTTCTAATAATTTGAATAATTTTTAATAGTAAATTTAGATAATCTTTATCTTATTAATTAAAAGTCAAATAAAGTTGGTACTCGTATTAATGAGATGAACGAGCCTGCCAATTCTTACACAGCTATTCTATGTTTGCATGTCTGATGATAAGCTTAATTCTGAGATTGATGCATACATCAAGTCAATTTTAGTACTTTATGAGTTAGTGATGAAAATCATTTATTGCACAAATACATAAAATCAAACTGAATCATAATTTTTAAATCACAATCATACAGTTTACTATATTTTATTCTCATTGGAAATGAGCCCAGCGGTGCCAGATATGCAGTGAAAGGATGGGGAGAATAATGACCTCAGTCATACTACTACACATTCCTTTTTTGCTGTTAAGGTTAGAGTATGCAGTCCATAGGTAGGATAACCGATAATAAATTCCATAAAATGTCAAGTCTTGGAAGAAAAAGTGAAAAATGATAGTGATGTGTAATTTCCAAACTTGGATATTTTTGGCTATAGTGAGGTATATGTAGTTAATCCAAATTTTATTTTTTGGCTTTCCTGAAAACCTAAGAGGACCATAACAGCAGACTTTAAAGACCACTTGTGGTCTATGTATCATAGATTGAGAAACGGCGAATTAAATATTTGTGCCATTCCAAGAATTATATTACAAATCAAACTGTTCATCAAACAAGAGATATAATTAATGCACATGTCTTTAAGACATATAAAGTTTATAAATTTTATATATCACTGTGTATGTGCCAACACCTGTGTAAAAATAAATTATTAAATTAAAAGCATTCTCATAATAAGTTACAACAATGTAAGTTTTATTGTTTTACAATTTTAAGGGGTAAAAAAGCACATGCAGGCTTTTTGACAAAAAAGAGATACTTTTGAAGATGAACTTTTAAAGAGAAATTGGGTAATATTGATGTTACGTATAAGGGAACTATGAAAATCAGCTCTTATGAGCTATGAAGATGTAGCCAGCATGTTAATTGAGAAGAGAACTTAGAAAGGATTACCAGTCTTCAGTTCAGCAATTCAACCACACTGTACCTTTAAATTTAGAATTCTACAAGTTATGTATCATTCCACCATACTAAACCATGTTAGCAGAATTAAAATCTCTGGTACTTATCTACACCTCTGAAAAAAATTCTTTGGCAACTTTTTTAAATCAGTCATAAATGTTCATTTGGCTATTTTTATGATTTACATGTACTATACTGTTCGTAAATACAGTACA